CAACACTGGTGTGGTGTGTGTGCATGTGTTTACAATTTTATTTATAATGTTATCTTTAAAAAGTAAAAAAAAAAGTATACTCCACTTAGCATTATTTATATATATGTACAATGAAAACTTTATAGCCTGAAAGTCACGGTAAAAATTTGAGAAAAAAGTAATTCTAGGGTCATGAAACCATTTCCCAAGTCACTATAGTGAAGTGGGTGATTCACTACAATGACGCCTCTGATTCTAGACAACCCAAATGATTCCCTAGTTTGGGATCATATGGGATAGAGGACATCCTCGGGTTCAAGCCGACTTAAGTGATTAGGTCGACTCAACAATTTTCACCAATACCAAGCACACCCATAGAACAGAAAAAATAAATAAATAAATAAATAAATCAACACAAGGAGTCATTTGCTCGAAAATATCAAGAAGCAAAAAGCAACATGAAATCCATGACGTCGAGTTCAAATTTGAAACTCCCCATGGGTTCAAAATCCCTTCAAACCAGGATTGCACACCCATTTTCAATGAAATTGCAATCCCCCTCTATAGGGCGGAGATCCATTTGTTTAAGGATCAAGATCCCTATAAGAGAGGGATCAAGATCCCTTGATGGGGGGAACGAGCTCCACCCAAGCTCTGGCAAAAGCGAGACTTCGAGGAGGAATTTCCACCCCTCAACCAAGCTCCCTACCATTGTTCAAAAAGGCGGACTGCTCAGCGCCTAGGCAGTCCAAAAGGCCAGGGCGTATCACCCAAGCCTAGGCGGCCAAACTGGGCCTGCGCCCCGCCTAGGGCCTGCGCCCCGCCCAGAGGCGGAAATGTTTCTTTTTTGTTTTTTGTTTTGATTTTTTTTAAAGATATAAAAGGTTAGAAGAAGCGGTTTTAGGTTCATTTGAAACCTAAACCCACAAGAACCCATTTTAGAGAGTAAGAAACCTCCAAAAAACTACATTTCATTGGATCGAAGTGTCTCAAAGTTTGGAGTTCGAGCAATCAAAGTAAGTGCAAAACTTTATTTTTTAGATTGATTGTTTTATTTTGAGATATCTTCTTCAAGAGTTAGTCGGAGTGGAGATCCGGGTTGAAAATATGGATACAACTCGAATCCAAATGACAAAAATTGCGTTAGATGCAATTTTTGTAAAAAAGATACAAAAGGAGGCATAAACCGGTTTAAAAAACATCTTGCCGGTATTAAGGGGGATGTTGGCCCTTGTAAAAATGTTCCTAAAGCTATCAAAGATGAGATTAAGCAATATATAAGTAATGCAAAACAAAAACAAAAACAAAATCCTTGTCATAGATCTATTTTTGCTACTTCTAGAAAAAGTGGTCCGGGTTGGAAGTATGGGTACAACCCAAAACCAAATGATAAAAATTGTATAAGGTGTAATTTTTGTGAAAAAGATACCAATGGGGGTATTAGCCGATTCAAAAACACCTTGCTGGTGTTAGAGGTAATGTTGCTTCTTGTACAAAGGTTCTTGAAGCAGTTCGGGATGAGATTAGACATCTTAATTTAGAAGAACCAGAAAAGATTGAAAATAAGCCTTGTTCTATTGAAGTATCTTCTCCAGGTTCTAGTCGGAGTGGTGATCCGGGTTGGAAGTATGGTTATAACCCGGATCTAAGTGATAAAAATCGTATTAAATGTAATTATTGTGGAAAGGATACTGATGGGGGTATTTATCGATTTAAAAAACACCTTGCCGGTATTAAGGGGGATGTTGCCCCGTGTAAAAATGTTCCTGAGGCTACCAGAGAGGAAATTATACAATATTTGAGTTCAAAAAAGCACAAAAAAAATGGTTGAGCAGCCAAGACTCCTAGGGCCTCATCTGTACAGACAGCACATACTAGTAAGAAGATGGTAGAAGAAGAGGAGGAAGAGGCAGATTCAGAAGAAACAGAGGAGGACGAGCGTTATATTGAAGAGGGAGATGACTCTGATGATGATGGCCTCAACTCTGATTCATATGATGAGGCTTGCCCTATTGATATTCCTTCCGATGATGATGATGATGAGGATGACGACTGAAGACTCCTGCCTCTTGGTGCTGAGTGTTGACTGTTGTGTTGAGTCATGAGTGTTGACTTTTGTTAAATTGTATATTTTCTAAATTTCTGTATATTTCTGTTATGTTGAGTGTTGACGTTATATCCTACACTTGTATGGTTTTACAGTTTACTATTTTAACAATATGGATTATCAAAATTCTCTTCTTGACGTCTATCTTTGTTTTTTTCAACTTGGAATATGGTATTTGGTAATTTGGTAGTTTTTTTCAACTGGATAGCCGCCCAGGTTCTGGGCGCCCGCCCAGGTTCTGGGCGCCCGCCCAGGTTCTGGGCGCCCGCCTAAGAGCTGGGTGGCCTGGACCCCCTAGGCCACCTAGGACCCGCCTAGCACTTTTTGATACACTGCTCCCTAAATTTATGGTGTTAAGAGAAACTTTCTCGTTAGTTACTAGTAAGCAAGAGGAGTTGGTGGCCCTATGTATGAGATGTTCAGAAGATATACAGTGCAGACACCAGTCACAAAGTTAATAATGAGTTACATAGTTGTTAGGATTGGGATCGAGAGTAGGAGATCATGAAAGGCTAGAAGATCCCTATGGTTGGGAGTATTGTGTGTAGTCCCTAAAGTGAATATGTTACAAATTGATATCTCCAAATGTTAGGGATCTCGATCCCAACCTTTTAGGGATCTAGATCCCAACCTTTTGAGATGTTTATCCCAACAATTTGGGGATCTTATTCCCAAGCTTGAAGAGTAGTTATAATCTAAGACTACATATACTCTTTTAAAGAAGGGATCTATTTATTTATAGCTGGCAAGAATTAAAACTATATTATAAATATGGTTTCCCAGCTGGCTAGAAATTGCGAAAATCATCAGCTCATCTAGTTTTTTAAGGCAGAGATCAAGAAAACATGTGGGATCCATATCCCTAACAAAATGAGATCCCAAAATTTTAAAAAATTTGAGATCCTTGAGATAGATACTAAAATATACTGCTAGAAATTAGACAAAAAGATGTCATTTTCTCCGGGACATGGTGCAAGAAAAATCATGACCATCTTCTTCAGTATAGATGACCATCTTTTCTGGATTAGATGTTTATTTTATGCAGTAGGAAGAGACAATGGACCTTCTATTGATTTTATGAAGCTCTAATCAATATATATGGTGGCTGCAAAGTCAGTTGACATTGCACGTGTTCCTTGTTGATTGCATGCTTGAGATAGGATAGGATGAATAGGACCTAAATGGTCAGGTTCTACACAAGGTTTGCTTTGTGGCCACGACATTGAAAACTCGATAGGGGTGTCAATGGGCCAAGTAGAGCTGGGTTTGGACATGTTCAAGCTTGGCTTGCGTGGTTATAGGATAACCTTAGGCTTCGCTTGTGCCTGACTTGTGCTTGACTGGTGCTTGACTTGAGCTTGAACAACCAAGCTTCGGTTTGACTCGATCAAGGGAAGATAAGCTTGCACTTGGCTTGGCTAGACTTCTTTATTTAAACAAGTTGACAAAGAAGCCAATTCAAGCTACAAATAAGCCCATAATTGTGCCAAATCAAGCCAAAAACTAGCCAAGACAATGTATCAACAAGTCAAACATAAGCCATACTTCCAAGCTACAAGCAGTTTCCAAAATTACATGTTTATATAATTAGTTACATATACTCATTTTATAAAATATAATTCTCTATAATATATTAAACAAGCTCGAGCAGAGCTTGCCTCAGCTTTTCTTTGATCAATAAACTAGATGTCCTGGATCAGCTTGGGTAGTTGGGTTGGCTTGTCAAGCTGCAGAATACTGTTAAAGCTTGGCTCATTATGAGCTGAGTCGAGTGTTCTGAGATCTAGCTTAGCTCGTTGACACACCCAGAATTTGGAAAGAGAGGAATCACATGATTTTTTGAAACTATATGAGTCAAGGAATGGCTAAGTCAATAATAAGGAAGGATAATACATTTAAGGCTTGCAATGCGAGAATTGACTTGGAAAAGATAATGGAATTTCAAAATCATGGCAGAGGCTCAAATGAGCTTCAGCGAAGGCATAAAACTCTCTGCTTTCGAAGTTAAAATGAAGTTCAATGGTTATGGCAAAGGAAACTGGGGCCTTTGCAGCTCAAATTATCAACATGTACAACAACAAGACAGTTTTGAAATGTTGGATACTTGTATACTTGCACTCCTTTAGTGGAATCATTGCACAAACAGATACACTTTTAAAATGCATATCAGATCCATGTATAATTCTCAAACAATATACATAAAATCATATAAGCAATCACCTATTTAACATAACTGAAATCATAAAACCTAAAACCCTCTGTATAAAAATCCACTAGAAGGAAGTAATTGGCTGCCAAGCAACCAATCTATAACACGCCTGCAAACCACCTATTTTAATCGATTCATCTTCAAACTCAACATTGGACATTCCTAACCTTAGGCGTGCTTCGATTTCCAAACCCAAAACAGTGAGCAATCATGAAACATCGGAAGAAAACAGTTCTCACCAAGAGGACTCTTACAAGCAATCATTCTAATAAAGTTTCAGTAACAAGTTAAGAACTGTGATGATATTCCTGTCAGTTCTGATGATGGTTTCAGGCATACTTTAAGACGATTACTAGTTCAAAGTCTATTGCCATTCTTTCTATGAGATATTAATTCAGTTCTAAATTCAGTTGAAACACTTGAAGAATTATGCAAAGTCCTCTTCCCACGAATTCCATTTTATAAGAAGGAAAGGAATAAGATAATAGGACCGAAAGTACCCAATCCAGTCCCCCATATAAATATGCTATTCCTAAACAGAACCAGAAGTTGAGATTAGAGCATACAAGCTATTTTCCAATAAATTTCAAAAAGTACAGAAATAAATAAAATGTTACAAGAGAGAGAAGACCCACTGGAGAGAGAGCAGAGAGAAGATCCACTAGAGAGAGAAATAGAGAGAGAGAGAGAGAGTTTGTGTTGTACCAAGACTGCCTTGTGAGCAGGGATGCATCTTCCACATGGGGTCTCAATTTGGAGGTCAGAGAAATGTTGAGAGAGAGAGGAATGAGGGGGGCTAAGCCTGAGGAAGGATATGTTGGCCCTCAGCTCCTCAATCTCCTTCTTCAACTCCTCCTCCGTCTCCGAAGCCTCATCGTAGCACTCTTTGCAGGTGCCCGCCTTCTCCTCGAAGTACTCTTCCTTGCAAGACATGCACTTCATCCTCCCAATCGTCATCTCTCTCGCTCTCTCTCTCTCCACTCCTGATATTATCACCACTCCATCATCCATCACTTGATCCCCCATGAACCGATACTCCATTCTCTCTCTCTCTCTCTCTCTCTCTCTCTCTCTCTCTCTCTCTCTCTCTCTCTCTCTCTCTCTCTCAACCTTCTGCCATCCCTAACCACCAATCTCTCTCATCTGTATACCCTCTTTGTTCTTGTTGTTGGTGCCACAGGAAAACTTGAATCTCATCAGAAAATGCAGAAATATGGACAGAAGAGAGAGAAACTCCTTTGCCGGATGGGTAGAGAGAAAGAGAGATGGGGCCTTCGAATGTACCAATTAGAGAAAGAGGAACCTGATTAATGGTATCAGAGAAGGTAAAAGGGGTTTAAATTGAAGGCAAGCCTGTTCTTATTTTCTTGGACCCATGAAAAGTAAAGTGGGGGTGCACGAGAGGAAGAGAAGCATAGAGGAGATTGTATATTATCGGAACAACACAATTATTCACAGTCGTCTGATGTGAAATCCGATGATGGCTTGGGCATGTTAAAAACTTGAGAATTTTTTATTGTTTTGTTAAGCTTGGTCAGATATGGCTTAAGCCAAGCTTGGTCAGATATGGCTTAAGCCGCCCGATCTCACATCCAATGGCCGAGAGTTCTTTTCACTTCTTTGTACCAAAGACAAATACTTTATTCTATATAGTCCCCGAAAAAGTTTATATAAAGGTGAGGCTCTGAGCAATCAAATTAAAACGTACCACAAAAATTCACTAGAAGCAGTTGTTTTGATGTTTAAAAATATTTAATTCAATCATCTCGACCTCAAGATGTATAGATATAAAAAAAAATTATTTCAAGTCTTAATAATAACATATTTTGTAATAAATTATCTAGACCGTCAATTTTCAAGATTTTCAAGTGTTTACATATTTGCTCGATCTCTATTATTTTTTAGTCTTTAAATTTTATAATTAGAGATAAAATGAATTTTTAGGCTTTCGCAAAGCTTTTACTGAATAGGCATCTTACAACAGTATTTGGAGGGTGGCTTATTTTGATTAGTTAGGGCCTCAAGCTTATACAAACTACTATGGTCTGTGAAAGTACGTCTTCAAATATTGTCGAAACATGTTGTTTCAATATTAGAAAGCTTTGTGAACAACTAAAAATTTATTTTCATCTCTAATTATAAAATTTAAATATTAAAAAATAGTATAGATTGAACTTATCTTTTGAACACTTGAAAATCTTGAAAATTTCTAATCTAGATTATACGTTACAATATGCATTATTTTCAAGTCTTGAAATCTATGTTTTCTCACATCCATACATCTCGAGGTCACCTCACATCCATACATATTGAGGTCAAGATAATTGAGTTGAGAGTTTCTCATAACCGAAACAACCTCTTTGAGTGAATTTTGAGGTGCGTCTTAATTTGATTGTTTAAGGCCGCAACCTTATATAAACTTTTGTGCTTATGTAAAGTTTTCCCATATTTAGATAGCTTAAGGAAAAAAGGATTTATTGAAGAAAATGAAATACAACGACATTATATCATCATTCAAATCAAACTTGAAGAAAATAATTTCCTAAGAATTATCTTTAAGGTAGTGTTGTTTGTATGATCTTTCTTATTCTCCTTGCTCATTGGACCCACCACCCCTCTCTACTCAACCCCTCTGAAGTTTGCTTTATCTTGCATGTGATATTTCAAAGTCATATCATGGAATTTAATATGTTTTAAATGAATTAATTATAGGAATGTGAGATTTTGGGATCTCCGAATTTCAGGACTCTAAAATTTATTGAAGTTATTTGCTTTTCATTTTTTATTTTTTTTTTTATAGGTTCTTGTTGAGTGCTGATATGATTGAAGAACGATGAATCTTTGGATTATGAGCCGTTTGGGAACCTGTATATCTCAAAACGAGCTTTTATAAAACTTAGTTTTAACTCAAGTAGTGTTTGGCTCAAGAAGTTAAAAAAAAAAGAAAAGAAAAGAAAGTGTATCTCTAAAATTACTCAAAACCAAGATAAAAATTTGAAAAAATTACAAAAAGTCCCCAAAATCACATTTTCTATGCAACTTATCCCAATGTAATTTTTTCTCTCACTTTTTTTTTCAAATCAAGCTTTCTATGCAAATACCCAAGGAAACGAAAATGCCCTACACAAAAATCATTTTGGACAGGTTCGACGTTGACTTTTGGACCCAGTAGCTCATTCTCCGAGAACACGATCACATTGTCGGAGTGCATAAGCCGAACCACCCTTTGCAACTGTCGAACCACCTTTACGATTGTCGGACAACCCATTTCAATTATTGGAATGTCTACAATGTCAGAGTCTTACTGCCGGACCACACTTTACACAGTACCGAAGCCTTACTTTCGGACCAAACTTTAATACAGTACCGAAGCGCTACTGATGCATCGCATTTACACGGTGCCGGAGCATGTTTTTGGTGGGATACAGAAGAGAGAGGCGTCAGTAAGATAAAAGTATAAAAGAGTAGTTTAGGCTCTTTTTTTTTTTTTATTTGGTTGAAAAAAAAAGGTAACCAAAAAAGTTAGATCGGAGTAAATTATAATAAAAGAAAAAGTTTATATAGCGTCGAGGTTCTAAACAATCAAATTGGAGCCTACCTCAAAAGTTTCGTATAAGATGTTTTGATACCCAAATATCTTTGAATTTATCATCTCGACATCAAAATGCATGAACATAGCTTACCTCAAAAGTTTCACCGGAAGATGTTGTTTTGATACCCAAATATCTTCGAATTGATCATCTCGACATCAAGATGCATGGACATGAAAAAAAAATAGATTTAAATTTTAAAAATAGTGTATTTTGTAATGCATTTTTGGACCATCTATTTTCAAAGTTCCATGCTTTCATCGATCTGCATATCTACACTATTTATGAACCTTTAAATTTTATAAATAAAGATGAAAATATATTTTAATGCTATCATAACGACTTCCAGTATTGATGTTTTTTTTTTTTTCCTAAAAATTTACCCATGTATTACTTTTATTTGAGTTTTTGTTAGTTCCCGTGTTACCCAGGTACCACGCCTCCCGTTGCTCTGTATTTTATTCCTCATGTCACTTTGTTTGCAGGGCCCTCCTCCGCCATTGAGAAGCAGTACGCAGAGAGCCCTCTCTCCGCCATCTCTCACACAGATATTTACCAAGAGCTCAAAAAATCTATTGTTAGTAGAATCATCAGTAGGTCGAGTTCCATTGTTCCACGGTTTTTTCGAGAGTCACCAACCTCTTATCCGCCATTAACATCAGAGCTCCAGGCATGGGTGTTTTTCTGTAAACCTATTTCTCTTGCTCGAAAAATTAGGGCTTCTCTGTGTGAAGATCTTCTAAGATCCTGTGATATTGGTTGTTATCGCTTTGTTTAGTGCTAAACATACTTGATTTGGTTTATCATCTGTGGGAGAAATTCTAGGTTGTCCATATTATGGAATCATAGAGTTTCCTTATTTTTCTGCATTATTCCTTTTTTCTGTGTTTATTTGTTATTCATTTGATTTTGTGGGTTCCTTGTCCATGGTCCTGCTTTTTATAGAAGACCCAATTGTAAATTGTGAATTTTGGAAAAAGCCCTAAATTTCATTGGACTGGTGTTTGTTTGTATATTGGGTTTCACTTCTGGTCATTCGTTCTATAAAAAACTTTTAAACTTCTGCTGCATTATAATGTTCTTGTTTTCTGTATATGTTTTCGTTTTGTAAAAAAGACACGGTGTCTGGATTAAAGGATTTTGTTTAGTGGTTTTGTATCAGCCCCTTTCAATTTATTTGGTTGAAAATCTATGCTTTACGGTGATTTGAGTTATTTTTATGATTTTTGCTTACCATTTTGTTTGTTTGTGGAGATACCCGGGATTTGGTGTTGGTTTTCTGTGGTGGAAGCTGTAGGTTTCATTGTTATTCTGAATGTATGATTCCTATTATGTTGCTTAATTGATTTCCAATCTGTTCTTTGTTTTTTGGTAGAAAGTTGTTTTGCTGTAAATGTTAGGACTACTTCTCTATATGGGCATGTGTTGCTTGCAAAGAATCCATGGCATTCCTCTATGCATCATTAAAATATACTCCGTTTTCTATATGGAGTTATTGCATTTTGGTGTTTCTTAAGGTTTTTTTTTTTTTTTAATCTTCTGTTTTTTAATCATTGTGTAGAGAAATGAGCTTAAGATTAGCTGAATATTGCATTACTGAATCAGTGATAGTGTTGATTTATTTGTCTAGTTTCCTTTTGTGGTATATGATTTGCTTTTAGTGATGTGGTATTGCATTTTGGTGTTTCTTAATTTTTTATTTATTTTTTATCTTCTGTTTTTTAATCATTTGTGTAGTTATATGGGCTTTAAAGTTAGCTGAATATTGCATTACTGAATCAGTGACGGCGTTGATTTATTAGGCTAGTTTCCTTTTTGTGGTATATGAATTGCTTTTAGTGATGTGGTACCTTGATATTGCATTTTGGTGTTTCTTTTTTGGTGAATACCTTTTCTGTGGTTTATGTTAATACTTGGAGGATGGAACAATTTGTTTGAGTCCAGCTGGTATTAATTTATGGTAAAAGCGACATTTTTGGTATTTGGCAACTCCAAGTGATGATCTCTATATGATTTCCATGCGGTGTTATTTATTGATTATTTAAGTGTTTTAATCGACTGGTGAACTTCATTAATGTTGCTTATCACGATAGAATTTGTCACTAAAACAATGTTGGTAGTTTTCTTCATGAATATATATTATATAAGTTATACAGGATGCATTGGATGTAGTTTGTCCTTTTCATTTCGATCTTCATCAACAATTTCTATTAGAATTTTTGAATCTGGTCTGACCTTCATACTGTTCCATGCTTTGTTACTCATTCCATTCTTGTTTATTAATGGATGTGTTTCTTGGTTTTACCGATCAATAGTATTGATTCTATTTCTTGGATTAACGTTCAATATGTTGGTGTGAAGTATTTCTATGCTTTACTTGAGTTTATTGCTTGGATGGTGGTTGATAATGGCAGTCTTAGCCAAAGACTTTTGGGTTGCAATGACTCTCTTCTGTTTTTAAAATTTTCCCCATTCTTTATGTCTTGATGGATAACTGCATGAATATGCGGTTGTTGTAAACTTGATCCTCATGTTGTTTAAGTGTGAGAATTTGTACAAATTGTTTATACAGTTTTGTGCTTTTTCTTTCTTTTTGGCAAGACTTTGGATGGCTATCCATTATTTTTGTTGGTGCTGCTCCTATTGGCGTGGTGCATTTCCTTTAGATTGGTTTTGGCATGTACTTTGTGCTTGTATATATGATCTTGTTTATTTTCATGTATGGGATAATTAGTACCATTATTATCAGTGAACAATGGTTGACTGCATCTGGAAATATGATGCATGTATAATGAAGTGGTGGTTCCAATGTTGTTCCGAGTTGCAACTATGGGACCCATGTGCCCTTCAAGATGCAATTGCATCTGAAAATGTAGGGTGAACAGAAAGATGTATTGTGCGAGCCTATGGAATGGCTTTATTGTCATGTTCTGATCACCCAATTGGTTTTCAGACCCTAGGGATAGGCAATAAGTTTGGTAAGTATTCTTAAAGTTATCTTTGATCCAATTGGATAGGCGCATGAATGCTTGGCCTACTGATGGGTGCAAGATTCTTAATTGGGTCAGCTATTCATTGAGGGCTCTTCTGCGAATATCACTAGTTGGTTCTTGTAGGAGATAGTTCTTGCTTTGAACCTAGCAGATTTTGTGGGTGAAGTTGTTTACCCATTATGATGGGAAGTATAACCTCTGATGAAGTTTGGCACATAAATTATTTGACGGTAGATATGGAGAAATCTTGTGATCTCTAAATTGTGATGAGGTGAGTAATGGCAATGTTTGCTACTAGATTGAACAAGTGGAAGCATGTTTGGGTTTTGGCAGTAATTAGTACAGAGTACAAGGCAGTTAGAACTTTAACAAATCTTGGTTCCTAGATTGAGTCATTTAGGATTATATGTTGGCCACACATATCATTAACATGTGGCATTACTTAAATTGGGCCACAAATATCATCAATTAGATGTAGCATGCTTTAAATCTGGCAACCAAATTTGTATCCATCCAACAATTGTTTTTCTTTTCAAAAGGCAAACTTGTGCCTAATAGAATTAATGATCATTGTCATCTTTTTTGTATTCTAACATGAGCGAGTCCCCATTAGTATATTGGGGATAATTGTAGTGTAGTGCATTAGCAATAATTGATATTTGAAATGGGTGCTACAGACTTGTGAAAGAAGGATTGGATATAAATATGCAGCATGATGAGTGAGGAGTATGGACACGTATTTCACAAAGATAAGTTAAAAAACAGGGTAAATTTCAAATACATGAGGTCATGAGCAATCTTTACTTTAAAAAACCTACATGCTGGGACAACTATTGATCTTTTTAAATTGCATGTGCTCAGGCTAATGAAGATGAAGGGAAGTGGATCGACGTTGTTCTACCTCCTATGGAGCTGATGGATCGAGTTTTTGGGGATTGGTATAACGCCGGCTATGGAATATTTTATTTTGATTAATATGATTGTATTCTTGTAATAAGAACCCATGCATAGTGTCCTTTTCGACTACTTGTAAGGGATATTGCATTCAACTTTTCATTATGTTCCTTCGTAATCTTTTTTTCAATGTAATGAGATGTAGTATTCCGGATATGATATAATTCAGGTTGTGTACATAGAGAGAGTGAGAGCGAGAGCGAGAGAAAGAATCATTTTTTGACCTATGAAAATACAGAAAAATATGATCCGAACCGTCTAATTTATTTATTACATGATGGATAACTTATTCCCAAAAAATAGTTTTAATTGGCCATGTATTATTACAAAATCATCAACTTTAAGAATCAACAGGGAAATTGAATTAACAGAAAACAACCAAGAACTAGTTTTCATCTTCATGGTGTCAAACACGGTAACATACCAGCTTATATATATTCTGGGTTCTTCGTACCGCCAGTCAAACAACATGGTGCCTAAAACCAGCTTTTATATATACTAGAATCAACAAAAACATGTATAAATAAAAACTCAGATTTGGGGTATACATGTTCCCAAACTTATGGTTTTCATTGGCAAGCTCTAGTTCATATCATGGCTCTAGTTCAAAATAGGTCCCTCATTTTCAAGATCAAGTATTGACCATATAGTTGACCTTATAGATAGACTCAATATTCTAGAATTTGGACTGGATTGGAAAACCAATAAGGGAAAATGTTCGACGATCGTAGCAAATCACCATTAAAGCTTGATGGTAGGGATGTCAATGGACCTGGACCTGACTCGGAACCCGATCTAGGTTTGGGTATGGGTTCAAGAATTGGACTTGACGGATCAGGCTCGGGTCCAAATATTGAACCCCAATACTATTCAAGTGTGGGTTCATGTGGACCTGACCCAAACAGTGTTATTTATATAAATAATAGGTTTCGTCTAGTTGAGAATGGGTAGGATTGGGTCCGGATCCACCGAGATCAGGATTCGGATCCAAAAAGTATACAGGGGTTTTGGATTTGGATCCAATTGGATTTAGAATATTGGATTCGGATCTGGATTCAAAAAGTATACATAGGATCTCGATCTAGACCCGATTGAATCCAAAAAAAATTTATTCTATATATTATTCTATATCTATAAAATAGTATATAACAAAAAAAATACCTACGTCAAAAATTTCACTAGAAGAGGTTATTTTGATACCCAAATATACTCAAATTCATCATCTTGACATCAAGATGCATGGACATGAGAAAAAAATGGATTTCAAGTTTAGGAAATAATGTATTTTGTAACACATTTTTGGACTATCAATTTTCAAAATTTTCAAGTTTTGATAGATCTGTCAATCTACACTAATTTTTGAAGTTTTAAAATTTATAAATAAATGTGAAAATATATTTTAAGGCTATCACAAAGATTTCCAATATTGAAACCACATTTTTCGACACTATTTGAAAGTAGGCTCTATACAAACTACACCTATATATATATGCTCATCATCGTCAAAAGTTCATTCCACGGTCATGATTGTCCGATAGTGTTTTATTTTTCTTTTTTTTTTTTTACAAATCGGAATGATGTGAAATTTGGATCGTGTGTACATCTTAGTGAGGCCAATAAAAATATTTAAAAAAAAATTGTAAAAAAATGATCAAAATAACCCTAAAACTTTTTAGGGGTATTTTGATCAATTTATTTCATGTAAAATACTTTTTTGATATTTTTTGTAGATTCATCTATTTTGGTTGAACACGCTCCAAATTTCAGATCATTTCGATTTGTAAAAAAAAAATTAAAAATGAAACATTATCAAACAATTGTGACCGCGCGATGTAATTTGACGGTGATGGGAGTAGGTAAAATCACTGTTCATTTTCGCCTATAGGCATTGCGTAGAACATAAGCGAAATGAACAGTGATTTCTTTTATTCCCGTCGCTGTCCAAAGTTCATCGCGCGGTCACGATTTTTCGATAGTGTTTCATTTTTCATTTTTTTTTATAAAACGGAATGATCTGAAATTTGGAGCATGTATTTATCAAAAATAGGGGAATCTTTGAAAAATATATATAAAAACAAAAGTGCATGGAAAAATTGACCCAAATACCCTCAAAAAGTTTTGGGGGTATTTTGATCAATTTTTTTTTTGCGGATAATTTTTTTATATTTTTATTAGATGCGCCTCAATAAGATGTTCGTCCCTCCAAATTTCAGGTCATTCCGATTTACAGAAAAATAAATAAAAAATAAAACACTACCGTACAATCGGACCGCGTGATGAAATTTAGACGGTGATAAGGGTAGGCAAAATCACTATTCATTTTCGCCTATAGGCGTTGGGAAGACTTTTTCATATATATATATATATATATATATATATATTATAACTAGGTCGAAACAAGATCGGATCCACATATACCTGGATATAATCTAAATTACTATTGGGATCCAAAGTTTGGATCCGGATAATACCCATCAAATCCAAATCTTGGATCTATACCAAAATCCAAATAAAATCCAAAATTTGAGTTTCGAATCCAAACCAGGTAAATTCTCCACCCTACCACCACCAACATCAAAAGACTCAACAATTTCTAGAACTTGTCCATCCCTCATCACAATTGGGAGGGAGACAAAACCCACCACATGAATTTACAATAAGTGATTTAAATATCCCCAACCCGACTCAGGTAATTTTTGTGTAAGGAACCCTATTATCGGCCTGATTATTTTCTATTTAACTTTTAGTTTTAGTTTCTTTGTTGAATATAGCTCAATCTAAGTAGGGAATCACACGAATTCGACCAAGCAAACCGAAATCGAACCCCGAGGGAGTTGAAGGCCAAATCTAAAATTTGAAACACTATTTACACTTATGAAAGTAAATTGGCATGTAATTACATGAGAAATCTATGATTTGGGGTAGAAGACTCACATTATTCGCTCCTAATGTGCATTTACACCCAAAAAAAAGAAATTATAGAATGGAGGACAAACGATAGCATAATGGACTAAATTTACTGACCAACAACAAATTATATTCTCTTCGAAAAAGGAGAAATCAGGACAAACTAAATTATCCTAAATTAGAAAAAATAAACAATAAATCAAATTCTCATTTGGGCATTTTCCTTGTGAAATCTCATTGTGGGCGACTGACAGACCTCATTTTCTACCAAATTATCTAACAAATATGTTCCCTTCAAGTTCAGAATTGACTGTAAACCCAAACACAGCATAAAAGACAAATTAGTTCGAAGATTGTGTTCTCTAGAGGCCTGTGAGCAATTAAAACCAGAGAAGATTCTTCCATGCTTCGCTAGGTTTAGTTGTATCCTGGAGTTATACATGCTTGTCTCGATCGCATATTAGAAAATCCAAATCGAGGGTGTCTGATACCATGAATATAACAGGAGCATCTCATGCCTATGGGTCCCTTGTTTAAAAGCAACATAAAGCTGGTTGTTTTGTGAATATCAACTTCATATTTTCTTTTCTAATATTGTATTTGTATGTGGAAAATTCAAGCTTTAAACTAATTTTGAACCATGGGATCGCTCTTACAAAGAAATACATGTTCTATGCAAGTTGAACTTTGTATTTTATGTTGCATTTTGCACTTCGAAAGGGATTTATAGTTCTCACTATCGGAAAAAGATTGCAGTTGTGATCAATCATAAAACCAAGTTGATTGACAAGATATTAAGAATATAACTCAGCATCTGCACGTTGTGGTTTCTATTCTTCACGGACACTTTTTTCCATTCTCATTGACACCTGCAGTAGTGATCAATCATAAAACCAAGCTGATAGACAATAAATTAAGAATATAACTCAGCATCAGCACGTTGTGGTTTTATTCTTCACCAAGCTGATTGACAATATATTAAAAATATAACTTTCCATTCTCATTGACACCACCTCACGAACACCTTCAAAAATCTAACTCCTAAACTCGAAAAAAAGGGTAGAGGCCTATCTTTCCCGTTGAATTACTTAAAAAAAGAAAGTTAAGGGGAACATCTTAAACATGGCTTTTGAGGACCTAAAAGCAACATATTATAAAAAAAAGAAGTGTACAAGAAAAAGAAAAAAGAGAGGAATTTCATGGGAAATCTCTTTGTTTATTCACAACTGATATTACCGCAGGCATAACTTTTAACAACCCATCATTGATTAACATCCATCCATCTCTTTATTCATTTTACATGGATTACGAATTTATATAAATGTAAATAATGACATATCATGTACAAAATCTCTTTGATTTTTAAAAGGAAAAGTAACCTTGATCATGGGAAAATATAATGTACCACCCACTTAATTCACCAGTTCAAATAGTTCCCTTCTCCATTGAGAAAAGCCCCAAGCATTCTCTATTCTTACGAGTATTTCCCCCAATTGCCATTGTTGCCATTGTAGAACATGAGTTTTGGTTCCTCTTCCACAATTAAGAGATCATTTTTTTATTCCTCTTCCAAAATTAAGAGATCATTTCCACAACAAAATTTTTGTAAAGGTGATTTCCTTTCAAAAATAAAAAATATCTCCTCTCATTATCATCTCGAGCATCTGTATCATTATCAATGTCATCACCACCACGGCTACCACGAACTGCTCACAAAATACATCATCACTGTACTTGCCAAGTTTACGATGAAGATGACATGGCTGAGGTTAGGGGGAGCTCGCACTCGCGGCTCAGGCTTGCCGACGCCACACAAGAAACACCATCCGAGGATGAGGAACTTGACGCCATGGCATTCTGTGATACGGATCCCTCCGTCCTCTCCACCGGCGCCGCAGTCCCGTCGCCCTCGCCCTCGCCCTCACACCCACCCTTCCCCTTGGCATTTGGGCCCATCACAATGACCTGACCGAACCGAACCCTCCGACCTCTTTGGGAATCATTATCCTCCTCCATACCCTCACTGCCCACATGACCATCTGCATGCGCTCCCGGTCCTGCCTGCGGAGCCGGAGCGGCGCTGTCAAGACTGCTGCGAGCCCCCGCGGCCGGGCTGCTACTCTTTCGGGGGTTGTCATGCAAAAAGACGCGGTATAGAGCGGTGGTGAACCAGAAAAACCATGGAATCCCAACGAGGACCATGCCCGTGGGGCGGAACCATTGGGTTGATTCAGACTCCGGCATGGCAATGTCGAGGGCGAGGAGCACCCCGCCGGCCATGATGACGAGGAGGAGGAGGCAGGAGACAAGCCATAGGCAGGCGTTGTCAGATCTATGCTCCATAGGAGATGACACAGAGGTTGGGGTTAAGGCTAAGGTTAGGGAGGTGGGTGGTTGAGAGCCATTGTTGTGTTGATTTTGGGGAGTTCCTTCTTCTCTCTCTAACTCTTTCTCTCTCTCTCTCTAGTTTTCTTTCTTTGGGGGCTGGTTTTTTGGAAGAGAATGCAAGGCAAAATTGTGAGGAGTTGTGGACGGGGTCAAAGCAGCCATCTAGAGAGAGAAAGGGGTAGTAGAGAGAGAAAGAGTAGAGAGGGAAAACCCCTTGGGAGAATATCTACAGCGTGGTTTTGCTGTTTCCATGCCGCGGTTTGGCCAGCACCATGCATATATGCAGAGTATAGACATGAAGGAACCTTCCAATTGAACATATCTCAATTCAAAGTTCAAAAATAAATAAATAAATAACAACAATAATTTGAACTTTATTTCACATTTTAAGCCATCCAATTAGTAAAAATAAATAAATAAATAATAATAACAATAATTTGAGCTTTATTTCACACCCTAATCCATCTAATTTAACATCTAATGACTAATAACAATTGTGACGTCTTTGTAATAAAGATATTAATAAATTAAATAATATCTAATGACTACTAGCAATAGTTTGAACTTTATTTCACACCCTAAACCATCCAATTTAACATCTAATGACTAATAGCAATTGTGATGTCTTTGTAATGAAGAAAATAATAAATTAAATAAAAATAACAGTAATTCAAGTTTTTTGTCACACAATAAGCCATCCAATTTAACATCTAATGGCTAATAGCAATTGTGACGTCCTTGTAATAAAGATAATAGTAAATTACTTATGGATCTGAAATAATTACCTAAATAAAGATAGTGTCAAGGCAGTCTCACATTAGATTTTTTCGACCGCTTTTTTGGACCGTTCTACGAACACAACAAGGCCTTAGTAGAACGGTCAAAGGTTCCATCATTGGACCACTATTTATCTCAAAAATAAACAATAGAGCAGGATACAAGGATGGGACCTCGAACCGTCTTGGAACTGAATTCTGCTCAGTCCAAAGAACAGTTTGAGATATTTTCAATAAACAAGAAATAAATTCTGCTCAATAAGAGCGGTTTGAGATATTTTCAATAAATAAGACATAAAACACGATCTAAGGATGGGACCTCGGATCCATGGTGGGGATCATTGAGGACAGATGGAAGACCATGTACGCATGTAACCACCACGGTGTATTGTCTTTATTTTTGTGATGTCTAGGTTTCTTTTTCAAACTGGGATTATAGCATTTGCAACAATCAATTGGCCCCAACATCATGGAGGAGGTCAAATACTGCATAGTGAGATTTGAGAGTAAAAAACCCATATTGAAGCTTTAAAAGAGGTAAAAAAATCATTTGTATAGTTTAGACAACTACTTTAAAAAGACTATATCTTGTAACACATTATCCGAACCATTGCAGATCTATAAAAGTGACTATTTTTAGAGCTATAAATCTGTAAATGAATTCTTCAACAAGATGTACATTATTTACCTTTTATACAAGAAAGTCACAATTACTTTAGCTCGAATGTGTCACAAAATTTGAGAAAATTTCTTTTAAACTTTTAGCTTGATCAATAGATCTTTTAAATCAATAGAATAAATACATCCATAATTGATTGCGAGCACCGCGTACTAAACGTAAATGGTATGCATCCCCTGTCGCAATACAATACAAAAGCATCTTGTGCATCCCCTTTGGCAATACCATACAAGAACAATCCTATTACAAGGTACAAGATATAAAATAAGCAGTACCAAACCAGAAATGCATTATGGTTTGAAAACATAATCATGTTTGACATCCACATCCATTTCTTATTAGACTCCATATCCATTTCTCATTAGATCCAAACACACTCATTAGACTTCCAATATACATTTGTGAATGCTCATTCACTCTCCAAGACCAAAAAATACAAACATAAAGCACCAAGAAATGCCGGACAAAGAGCAACAGAAAAGGCACTTCAGTACCCTTTTCACAAGACAAAAAATAAAAAAACCAAAACAAAAGACAAAAAATAAACAGAAAAGGCACTTCAGTACCCTTTTCACAAGACAAAAAATAAAAAAAACCAAAACAAAAGACAAAAAATAAAAAAATTCTTTACAAGCTAAATGCATCCATGTTATGATCATTTCTCAACCTTGGATCAAGAAAAAACTATGGATGCACAACCCGCCTTGAAAACTCTCTTTACAAGCTAAATGCATCCATGTTATGATCATTTCTCGACTTTGGATCAAGAAAAAACTATGGATGCACACCCTGCCTCGAAAACTCGACAGAGTGTCTGGCTTGTGGACTAGAAGGCCAGGAGGAGGACAAACTCGAAGACAACCTCTCGTCCAAGGCCTTATCTCATCCAACTCAGTTTTGGTATTTGTTTTATTTTTTATCTCTCATCCAATACATCTCACTCTTGATTTCTCTTTTTCTTTTTTCCTATAGTATACCAAGGATACAGATAAATCAGTCAAAGCTTGAGGAGCGGCTCCACCTACCCTGCAAATAATCTTCCAAGGACTTGTATGAAGTTATATTATCAACACTCTGATCGACGCTGCTTACCGACTGCATATCGAAATCCACATCATGTAAAGCAAGGTTGACATGAGACTGAATATCAGGAGAGCAGAATGTTTCCTCATCAACCCCATCCAACTCCTCAGAAGCACTTAATTGAAGCCTTGCCCACTTCACCACATCATCATCTCCTTTAAGCAGTTTCAAAATCTGCAAATCCACAAGAGTCATCAGTAACTGAAAAAACAGTGGAGAAGACACACACACCACAAGAGTCATCACGTGACTAAAAAATCAGTGGACGCACACAACAAACACACACACAGAGGACATACAAGGCTCATGTGAGGTCTTGATCGAGCAGCTCGACGTATGCATAGTGAGGCAGCTAACATCACTCTATGCATTTGATCACGATCGTAATCATCACCAAGGGTTGGATCTACAAGCTCAAGCACTTTGCCCTTCTCCAAAAGTGGTGTTGCCTGTTTGTGTCATGTAGCAAGAATGTAATTGATACATTTGTTAAGGAACAAAAAAAAAAAAGGAGAAAGTAATGATCTGGGACAATGCTAGCCATAGAGTCCTTTAAGGGTTGAATCGCATTCTCAGACACGAAGTGCTCTCGGTTGATTTTAAGAAGCGGTCTCTTATCTGTGAGACAGACGATTTTTCTACTGTACCGTATGACCAAAACCTCAATTAACTCACAGACGATTTTTCTACTGTACCGTATAACCAAAACCTCAATTAAAATATTCAAAAGAAATAACATAGACAAGAAAAAATAGTAAAACAACCAAAAGAAAAGATAATTTGATGGCCATGGTACATATCCAAGTTTACCTGCTTCCTTATTAAAAAAGGAAAAGAAAAAGCAAAATAAACATGGGGTAATTTGCAAGGGAAAAGAATAAAAGAAGAACAAAAATTGATCCCATACAATGGTTGAATTAATGTGGCTCCCTATCTCTTTTGCACTTTTGAATCAATTAACGCTATCCTTAACCACCCACCCCAAAATTGTATAATTACAAGAATAATCAGAAAAGAGAAAAGGTTTCAGAAATGTTGTAGGAAGACATACCCACATAACCAAGCTTTCCTTTCCCTTGGGCAAATCATTGCTGATGGGCTTTCTTCCTGATAGTAGCTCGAGGAGGACAACTCCAAAAGAGTAAACATCAATTTTGTCATTGACCTTCCCATACATGAAGTATTCAGGAGCCAGATATCTATTGAAGAAGCAATATTATTATAATCAGTCTCCCGATCTTTCAAATATAATAAACAAAGAAACAGTATTCTAAGGTGAACATAAACATGCATAGCCTGATCAGTGATATTCCATGTCCATTAATGCTAGAAACCATAGCTAAACTTAGCCAGATTCTAATCACAGTTGACGAATGGTAGAAAACAGGCTTAACAAATAATTTATATGGGAAGGCTTCAGACAATTCAATCCATAGATTAGTATGATCAAAAATTTTCATCATCTATTGATAGAGTAATATTGCTTTGAAAATAATCACATATAAAGGAGGATGTTTGAAGGATAACAAGTAACATGATTGCGGAAAGAATTATAAAATGGACTTGAAAAATAAGAGGGGATACAAACCCGAAAGTGCCTGCAACATCACTGCATGTTATATGTGATGAAGATGTCGAGGCCCATTTGGCAAGTCCAAAATCAGATAACTGAAGACAAGGCAAAGGAAGTAGGATTTTAGCCATGTATAGGATAAACAATACAAGCATCAATGCACTAGTGAATATTAATTCTTCAAGGCATCTGTAAATATTATTTCTTCATGTGAAACAACTCAAAAACTTAACTAGCAATCAGAAAAGGTTTCATCCATATATGACAGCAAATTTAGAACCCCTAAGAAAATTCACTAGCTCAGTCTTCCATACCTGAGGCTCGAATTCCTCAGAAAGTAGAATATTGGAAGACTTCACATCCCTATGTATCACAGGTTGTGAGTGGCCACTATGAAGATAATCTAGAGCTTCGGCAACCCCAACTGCCACCTTGAATCTCTCGGCCCATGGAATCACAAACTTGTCCTTCTTATCACCTGATATAAACCAGAGAGACGTGGACCAATCTTCAATATCTTAATATGGCTCAGCTGAAAATGACCAATTTTGATTTTTTGAAAATGAAAACAATCTTTCGTAAAGTTCAAAACATTCTTTAGCCAACTTAACAGCAGAAGAAAGAAAGAGATCATGAAATCCCATGAACAAGATATCACTTTGTGAAACTTCTATCATTTTCTGTTTGTTTCCTTGATAAAACAAAAGAAGAACTCAACTCATATTGACTGAATTTGAGTTTCAGCAAACCAAATTCAATGTACAATTTCTCATATATGAGAAAAATGATTTTGGATAGGCACTAAAATCATTTCCCCAAGAAAAACAAAAGACAATAACAACAAATATGTGAGGATCGGAACATGTTTTTGAACTTTTTACATTTTTAATCTAATTCCCTGACGAAAGGACACTAAGAAGAGAGCAGAACTTCTTAAATTTTGCCATTTCCATTATCAAATTCCCCTTGAATAAGCAACGAAAATACAAGAAACTGCAAGCAAATAGAACAATGGAAAGACATACCATGGAGATTATCTTCCAGGCTTCCTCGACAAAGGAAATAATAAACCAAGAGAAGATTACCGCCTTCAAATGAGAAGCCAACAAGAGAGATTATATTATTGTGGCTTAAGGCAGTCACTATCTCGATTTCAAGTAGGAACTCTTGCAAAGAATCTTCAGAAGATTTCAAGATCTTAACTGCAATTTCTCTCCCATCAGGAAGAATACCCTTGTAAACCTTGCTGCTTCCTCCCTTTCCTATCAAATTCTCTGTTCCAAGAAAAACCAAAAAGCTTGATGAGCTAAATCTCTTTGGGAGAAAATAACACGTAGTTCTTTCTAGAATGCAAAGCAAGAATCCCAACCACTATGACTCTTTCTAAACCAAATCTTAGTAAGCAAAAACCTGAAAAAAATAAAATAAAATAAAACTAAATCTTAAAAATCTGAGAAGAAACTTAGAAACAAACCCATGAATTCTCATTCTTTCTGCACCATCTCAAGAAACAGATGACCATACCAACAAGGGACAAAACAATCTAGTGAAATCTCAGACACAGAAGATAGAAAAGAAACCACCATATCTAGTTCTTTCAATGCTAAAATGCGAAAAACCATCAATTCTGGTTCTTTCTTTGCTCAACCATCAATTCTAGTTCTTTCTTTGCTCTTACATAAGGTAACATTTGGGATGCGTAAAAATACTTCCATGAAAGTAATTTCATGCAAAACAACTCTCTCATTTAATTAGGTGTAGGACTTTTTTCACACCAATTGGCAGTTATTTGATGTGAAAAAGCTTCCACACCAAATCACATGATGGTGTTTTTTCACATACGTATTTTCATGTGTACCAAATGTACCCTACGTGTCAAATCTTAGAGTAAGACGAGACGAAAAAGACCAGGAGAGAGAAAAAGACCAAGTGCAAGGGAAGAGAGAGAAAACCTGCAGAAAACTCAGATGTGGCTTGCCGAAGTTCCTCATAGCCGAACAGCCTGCAGGTAGAACCATACTTCTCATGAAGTGACTCCAATTCTTTAGGCAATTCCTTGCGCTCTTCTTCTTGAGAATTCACCGAGGCATCACCAAAAGGAACTATGGCTTTGCATTCAGTACCACCCTCTATTTTCAGTTTGTTTTCTGAATGTATTGCTATAAACCTATTTGGAAGCTGCATTGCCCATTGAACCACTGAGACTTGCCTGAAGCCTGGCGGCTTTTCAGAACATTCCTTGTTAGGCAAAACCGCTCCTCTTAAAAGAGGCCAACCTGGTCTTAACTCTGTGGAATGCTTAGAAACCACAGAAAGTGATCCTTTTGAATCTTTCACAACAACCAGAGCTAAAGGATTATGCTCTGTTTCTTCTTCTTCAGATTGATTTTTTGATGGAATTAGCCTTTGGGCTTCAGCCTCACTTCGAGTTTGAGCCTCATTGTTAGTTTTATCAGAACAGAAGTGACAGCTTGGTTTGAGTGCCACTCCACCACTGTTGGGTTTTTGCTTTGAAATTTGAGATGGCTTCTTCTTTAGTGATGCAGTTGCGTTGGGGTTTTCTTGTATTATGGAAAGATCGTCCAAATTGCTGCTCAAAACTTTCGAATTCTTACTCAAGGATCGGTGAATGGAACCGAGAAGACTTGGCTTCGGAACATCGTCCACACTTGATCTTCCTGTGTTTTATATCATAAATTCTTCAGCATTTATCAAAGGCTTCTGTGGGGGAAAAGAGAGAGAGAGAGAGAGAGAACCTGATGAGGGTAAGGGTGATGCCTCTCTCTGGAAGACCACCTTCCCATTGTTCACGGCTAGAACTGAACACTCTTGAGATAGCTTCTTGGCACAAAATTTTGCTAAAGAAACGGAAGAACTGGAGATTGAACAAAAGTTCTTAAGAATCACCACTGCAAATTAGAGAATTCCCTACAGTTCTAGAGAGAGAATGGATAGTGAATGTTGGTACCTGAGAGCGTTGTTCCTTGTTATACCGACAATGAAGCTTGTAGCTCCACTGCATTTCGCTTCTTCGACCATGACTTTGCGAATAGAGGAACCCCGACAAATCTTAACCTTGAGATCTACCTGAATTAGTGAATTATGAAGCCAGAGATCAGGATCTCTCTCATGAAGGGTGAGAACACAGAAAGGCAAAATAGTCAGGGCTCTCGAGTTCTTCATATTCAGTGTAAAATTGAAAGTTTGAAACCTACGACAAGAATGAGAAAGGAGTCTAAGTCATGGAAGAAATGCAGAGAAGATGGTTGACCTGTTTCAGGTTGCAGAAGCCTTCATAGACAGCAAGAATGGAGTCGAAAGCCTTTGCAAGACAGAGAACCGAAGACGTCCCATTTGACCGCACCTCTGGTATGACAAAAATTCAGAACTTCACAGAGAAATAGATAGATAGAGAGAGAGAGAGAGAGAGAGAGAGAGGGAGAGATGAATTGGATTACACAAATAGGATGAATGAGTCGGAGCAAGCCAATTTCAGTTTCTCAAACCCCCACCCATATTTGGGAAACAACCCCAGAAATAAACTCTGAGAGATAGAAAGGACTAAAACCATCTGATTCCAGATAATTACACAAACTATTCTACTCAAAACTCACTCCACAGGCTAAATCCACTCAAATTTTTGGCAGACAATCTTGTAATCATTTGATGGTAGTCACCAATTGCAAAAGTTCCATAAAAATTACAGTACAATGGAGAGAAAAAAGTACTGCGAAGAGCAGAGCAAGTAGATATTTTGTCCTAGAGAGAGAGAGGGAGAAAATGTGTGCGAAAGAGAGAGAGAGAGAGAGAGAGAGAGAAGAGAGAGAGAGAGAGAGAGACGAGAGAGAAGTACGACAGACGACGAGAGAGGAGAGACGAGTACAATAAATAACGAGTAGACGAGTAGAGAAGTAAAAGTACGTAGACGAAGAGACGAGAGACGAGTAG